ATCGGAGGTGGTTCAAGCACCTACATTGAACACCTTCAAGAGCAAATTGGATGCTTATCTTGCTGGGATCCTATGATCCCAGCTGACTTCCTGCCCTTTGGGCGGGGGGCTGGACTCAATGATTTTCCGAGGTCCCTTCCAGCCCTAATGTCTATGAAATCTATGTCTATGAAATCTAAAATTGTTCCAGGATCTTTGGGGTACAAAGAGTTGCACTCACGCCTTTGTCAGTGAACCTGCCATTCAGGAAGTGCCTTCCTCCAGTTTATGGATAAGCTGTGATGTAAGTAGATGGCTTTTTGTACAAGAGCTTTTTGTCTGTGTCACGTATATTTCAAGAGAACAGCCTTGAGAGTAACTGCCATCTTAGGGCATCGATATGCATTAAATAAAATTAATTATAACCAAATGAATTATGCAGTACTACATATATTAGAAATAAAGTCACCTAAAGGTATGATAGCATATCCTACCTGGAAAATAAATGGCTTCGTTTCACATCTGATTAGTTATTGCTGGATGTGACTATGCAGATATTTAATACAACTACACATATTATTACATATTAGCCAATTTTAAAATTGTGCCCAGAAAGCTAAAGCCAGAGGCAGGGCCTGGACTGTGCACAGCCTCAGAAAGCTCAAAAAATACACATGTCCATTAAGCTGGGATCCAAATGTAGCAGTTTGGTAAGGGTCCAAAAGGGAGAGCTTTAGCAAGGCTGTGACATAACAGCACATTTCAGAATTGTCAAATAGCTGCCTTACCTGAGCATTTGAGAGTATTTGCAGTGGACAGTACCATTCACAGTTAGTCACTGCTATTTGCCAGCTATATGGAACCATCTGGGGAACTAGCTATGACAAAATGGCAGGGATCATCCCATGTTATGGTGACCAACAGAGTAGGACAGTCATTCACAGGAACTCGTATTAGATAAGGGGTGGGCAAAATGGCCAATTTGGCTGGCAGCCTGATTCCATTTCCCAGCTGCCCCTGCGCATGGCTGGGGCCAGTCTCTATGGAGACCCCAGCAGCACCTGTACTGGAAAAGCTCAAGGCTGGGGTTGCAATGGAGACCAGCCCCAGCCCTGTGGCAGAGCAGGGCAGGGGGCTGCTCCAGAGCTGTTGGGATCTTGCAATGGAGGCAGCTTGCTCCAGAGCCAGGGCAGAGCTGCCATCTGTAGACTGCACACCCTGGGCTGGGATTGCATCTCTGCCCCTGCTCCAGACCAGGCTGTCCCTGCCACAAGAAGCCAGGGCAGAGCAGCAATCCCCTTCATGCATGCCCCTGCCTAGAGCATGCAGGCTACAGATAGCAGCTCTGCCCTGGTTCCAGAACAAGCTGCCCCCATAACAAGAACCCAGCTGCTCTGGAGCAGTCCCCTGCTCTGCCACATGGCTGGCACTAGTGTCCATTGCAACCCCATCCTTGAGTCTCTATGGAGACCAGCCTCAGCCATGTGCAGGGTAGGCTGGGCAATGGAGTCCACTGACAACCATATCCAGCCCACGAGTTGGACTTTGCCCGTCCCTGTATTAGACTAATTAAACATAGTGAAGGGGTGCAGATGTATGTGCTCTTCCAGTTTCTCCCAGTGTTCCTGCTGGGCCAAAACAGCTGCATACCTCCTCCAACACAGGACTACTGCTAACATCAATACAGATGCAAAGATCCATAATGTACATTAATATTTCTTGAGCATAAATCATCTTTAATTTGCAATATTGTTTTCCCCTCTTCACACATTTTTATTTTCTGTTTTTATAAGCAGTTTTTAAACAAAGCATTTCTACTTTAAAATGAACATTGAACTTCATAATTTTCTCCTTCATGGAAGATGAATAATTTTAGTTTGAGAAAATATGGTATACTTTTTCACCAAAATATACTGCGTAGATTTGCAATGTTATGCATTAGTAATTAAATGGAACTTGCTCATATTAAAATGTCAGCAACAAGTTTCTTTCTGAATTTTAAACAGCAATAACATATTCAATTCAAAATATAGACTGAGGTCAGAAAGAAGTGATGTAGTCTGACACATTGTACACACAGGCCATATATTCTAATATTATAAAAGTCTAAGTCGGTCTGTTCGTAACACTTTATTTGTTTTCTGATTGGCTGATGGAAACAGCCAACCAGAGTGCTCCAAATGTGGGGGAGCGCCCATATGATTCTGAAGCCACACTGAGGACCGGACAGAGGGTAGAGAAGCTGCTGGCCTCAGCTCCCCCACTCCACTCCCTGCAAGTTGTGCCAAGAATCAGACAGGGGGTGGGGGAACCAAGGCCAGCAGCAGTGGCCTCAGCTCCCCCACCCAGCTCCCTACAAGACACAGAACAGAGGCAGCATAGGGTGTTAGGTGGTGGCACTCTATCCCAGCCCCCTTCACCCCCCTTCATTCTTGACGGGCAATTAGCTAGTTATATATATTATTCCATATATATAAAGGGCTTAGTCCATCTGTCTGTGTGTCTGTCCATAATGCTCTTGGTGGGCATAATTTCCTGTGGGGCATGGCTCAAGCCAGTGCTGCCCACAGGGCAAATCGCTTGGCAAGAATGATGGTGGGGACAGAGAGGACAGAGCAGGAGGCAGGGTGGCATGGGGCTGGACATGGAGCAGGGGAGAAGAAAGACAGAGGGGATGGAGCAGTGGGGGGTGAGGCCAGGGCCACTGGCCTCGCCCTCCCCCCCAGGCCTGATCGTTGGAGGTGGCAGTGGTGCCGGGTGGTAGCAAAGAGGGACAGAGGTGATGGTAGGGTTGGAGTGGGACAGCAGAGCACTGCCATGATGGTGGGGACATAGGGGACAGAGTGGAGGCTGAGGCCAGTGGCCCTGGCCTCTCCCCACCTGGCCCTGCTTCTTGGAAGTGGTGGCGGCAGCATGCAGGGGTGCTGGGCTCGCCCCCCCTCCATCCATCCCCAGCATCATGGCAGCACTTCATCCCTGCTGTCATTCTTGATGGGCGATTTGCATGTGTGTGTGTGTGCGTGTGCGTGTGTCTGTTCCCAGAAGTTATCCCATGGAAAGTTATCTAATCCTACTTAAAGATTCCAGGGGGCAGCACATCAAATATATCCCCGGCCAAACTATTCCAATGTTTAATTATCCTTGCTGCAAGGAGATTGTGTTTTATTTCAAAGCTGAATTTACCCAATTTTCACCTATCCAATTTCCAGCAACTAAGAATTATGTTTAGCCATTTATTCACAGCTGTCCAACTGAGAAATCATACTGAGGCAGTTATCCAGAAAGACCACCTTTAATTTTTTTCCCAAATTATTGCTTCCTAAGACATGGCCTCTCATTTTCTACATAAGCCAAAAAAATTGTTACCAGATGCACTAGCCTGTATTTGACCCTATAACAAGGCATCTTGTTAGATAATGACCATTTAAACAGCTGATTTAGACCATGTGTAACAGAAAACTATCCATTTTCTTAATTACTACCCCACCAATCTTTGTCACCGCAAACTTAGCAGTAAATATTTTATATCATTGTGGAAATGGTCAATAAAAATATTAACTAGCATCATACACTGGGGAACTTCATTAGAAACAGGCCCCGCTCACTGATGGTTTCTTATGAATAACTACATTTTGATTTGTCAGTCAGTGTGTGCTTAATCAATCTAAGATGTGCACTTTTAAATCAAGAAACCTAAATTCATGTTTTGTTCTCCTGACCATTACTATAGGAAAAACATTTATTTTCGGAATAAGATATAACTTATATCTTAGTAAAAGCTTGGATATAAAAAGAGTAATTATCAGTAGGGCACAGTTTAAAAATAATGGGAGACATGAAAGTGATAAATACAGTAAATAGTTTAATCTCTCCATTTTAGGTGCATATCTGAACCCTTGTTAACATAATATCTGACCATCACAGAGTCTAATGAGTTTATGTTCCAAATACTCCCCTGAAGTATCTAGAATGTAAATCCTGAAGTCCCCATTAGGTCACATCATAGAAAAATGAGACAATAGCTCCAGTCCTGTTCAGAGACAGTATGTATCTGTACCATAATCATCAAATTATTACTAGTTCCTGTCCTTATTAACTTCCTCAGCTAATGAAGAACCAATGATTAAAGGATCCTGGTAATTCTTAGCCTTACTCAGTAAGCAATTTCTCCACTTCAAGACTGAGAGAAAACACACAAAGTGTACCTGTTCTATAGACAGACTAAAGCTTCCATTTTGTATTAGCAGTACATTCACAAATAGAAAATTAAGCTTAAAAAATAGAACGCCCATCTTGTTATGACTGACAATCTCTGTTCAGTTCTATGTAACAGTAGCTAACAGCAGTGGGTTTTAGTTCAGAAGTCAAGTCAACTGACAAAGCTACATAGGAAAATTTGTATTGAAACTCCTGGCATTCTAGCGCACATAACCAGAAAAGCTTTTGACTTGACATTCTCATAAGGAAGCTATGGAAATATGATCTTGATGA